CCATTCCTTGAGTCCCTTTCTTAGTTTTATGCTTTGATATGAAATTCATATTAGAAGTCTAATCCTTCCAGATTCAGATTTATTGTGCTTTCTTCTGATGTGCAGAAGTTAACAAACACCACCATAAAACAAAGCAGAAGGATTTGCGGTGATTATGTATTCAATTCTGTAGAAATATATATAAAAAATATGTTTTTCTACATTCCATTTGGCCAGTTACCCTTGCATTGTTTCCCCTGTCCTCCAAAGTCTTAAAAACCTGTAAATCTATTTGTATAATGAAAGGCATATCTATCCACAATATTCTTACATCTTTGCTAGGGACCTTGTTTCCACCAGTGCTTGCAATAAGGAAGAATAATTTTGACTTGTTTTTTGCATTTTAAAAAAATATGAAGCTAAAAAAATGTAGAATCCTTGGCGCTCTCTGAGCTTGTTTGCTTGTTTGCAGATGTTTTATTACCTGAGTAGATGACATTATCAGTTTTGGTGAGAGTGGGGTTTGTTCTCTGTGGTTAACCCCATTCACTCCATACTTCAACCTTGAGCCATCTCTTTTGAAAGTCAAAAATCCTGCCTTGGCATATCAACTGAGTGCTCTTTATCAATTAACAACAAGCAGCCAAAATTACAAAACTTCCATTCTCTCATTCCAGAGTTCAGGACACAGAATAATGGGTTATCCTGGGTTAACAGAAAGTAGTTACTAGATGAATATTATAAAAAAAAAAATAGCTTTCCAATACTACGAGCAGTTTGGCAGAGAAACCAATTACAGACAGATCAACTTATAACAATGTATTTAACAACCATTCAAAGTTCCAATGGCACTGAAAAAAGTGGATTATGACTGCTCATAATTATGACTATCATAGCATCCCCAAAGTCATGTGATCAAAATGCAGGCACTTGGCAACTTGGATATATTTATAATGGCTGCAGCATCCTGGGAATTGTGCAATCAACCTTTCCAGCAATTCATGTTAGAATTGCCTTGTTAACAATGACAATTCTGGTTCTAATTTTGGTTGTAAGCAGAGAATACCTATATATCATGACAGGTGGAGGCTTCTCATTCATTGGATGGATTTAAGCATAGCCTAGGCTCAGGTAGTTTACTTTGGATGCTTGCACTTATGACTGACAGGTTCCTCCAACTTAATTATACTGTTTTCTAAAGTAAATATATTTTTCCAGTGCCCTTAAAAAGGCAGACCTAGGCTAAAACATATCAAAAATGGCTGCAGGAATTGGGTCTGTCTAGTCTAGTGAAGAGAAGGACTGGGGGTGACATGACAGTAGTTTTCCAATGTCTGAGGGGCTGCCACAAATAAGACGGGGGTCCAGCTATTCTCCAAGGCACCTGAAGGCTGGACAAGAAGCAATGATGGAAACTAACCAAGGAGAGAAGCAACCTAGAACTAAGGAGAAATTTCCTGACAGTTAGAACAATTAACCAGTGGAACAACCTGCCTCCAGAAGTGGTGAATTTTCCAACACTGGAAGTTTTAAAGAAGAGATTGGACATCCATTTGTCTGAAATGGTATAGGGCAGTGATGGCAAACCTTTTAGAGACTGAGTGCCCAAACTGCAACCCAAAACCCATTTATGCATCGTTGGGTGCTGGGTGGGTGAGGCCATTGGTTGGGTGTGGCCATTTGGCTGGGCGTGGCCCATTGGGTGGATGTGGCCCATTAGCTGGTAACGGCAGACTGGGTGGAACTAAAAAGTTCAATCAATCAATTCCAACTTTGCAAGATCTTTTTTTTCCCCTGAGAAGTTGAAATTGACGGATTGATTGAACCTTTTTTTTTTTTGCACATGGCGGCAAAGGTCTAAAGTGAAAAGGTTTTATAAAACCCAGCTGAAGGCCTAGGACTGGGGCGATAGCGCGTGTGCCCACAGAGATGGCTCTGTGTGCCACCTCTGGCACCCGTGCCATAGGTTCGCCACCATTGGTATAGGGCAGTGGTTCTCAACCTTTTTAATGCCGCGACCCCCAACCGGTCGTAAGTCGAGGACTACTCAACTGGTGCAGCACCGTTTGCAGAATGGGACTTTTGGCGGGCTCAGCAGGGCAGAGACAGCCTGGACAATTCCTATTGGCTTTTGAAAGCCAATAGAATTAGACTCTGTTCAAGAGAGTCTATTCTATTGGCTTTCAAAAGCCAATAGAATAAAAGGGAGTAGCACAGCTAAGGAAAAGGGGGAAAAAAATGGCGGACTGGCGACCCCAGTGAAATGGTCGTTTGACCCCAAATGGGGTCCCGACCCACAGGTTGAGAACCACTGGTATAGGGTCTCCTGCTTGAACAGGGGGTTGGGCTAGAAGACCCCCAAGGTCCCTTCCATTATTATTTCATGGTCCCTGGCCACATCTTTACCTTTGGCTAACCCTGTCTGGTCATGCATGAGATCATTGGAAATTAGAAATCAAATGTGAAGTGTACAACCCTTTTGGTTCAGTCCTCTACAACAATCCCAGTTTCTCCTCTGGCCCCTTGAAAAAATTAATTGCCCATCCTTGCTTAAAGGAGACCAACTCACAATCTGCAAGGTAGTAAGATGAGGACTGAGGGAGCCTTGAATGTATTCAGCACCTGAGAGACCTCCTAGATTAGCATATTAAAGAGCCATCATAGAAGGAATACAGGCAGGAGGTTGAATCCGGTTCTTCTTAATGTCAGAATTAGAACTAGCATTTTTATGTCTGAACTTCATTTTTAAAATTCTCCTTAAACATAACATACATACAAATACTACTGCCATTCTACAGATTGTATTACCTTTAAACTTTGGCTTATATTAGTGTTTCACGAAAGTCAGAATCACTGTAAGTGTGTGTGGGCCTCAATCGTGGTTGCACAGCTCTCACACCTAGACAATAATAATTTTTGTCTATAGAAAACAAGAATGAGAATCAGGATTTATTAATTGGCGGAAGTTTTTATATATTTTAATTTTTTGGTACAGATCAAGGGTGAAACCAGAAGTTATCTAGTGGCAGAGAATTCTATAGTATGCAGATGCGTGTTGATCTATGAGCAGAAAGGAAAGTTATTTCATGTAAATATGAGGATGATTATAGTACTAATAAATATTGTTCTGGAAAAAAGTGTAGCTTTAACTCTTAATTTAAGCCAATTTAAAATAATGATTAAATATTTCAAGTTCAAAATGTCCAGTTGCTAGGCAGGTTTTTGCTATATACAAAATAGGGTGCAGGTAAAATACAAACTGTTAGCTAAATGTTAAAAAAGATAGGAGGAAAAAAGTAAAGTTTGCTTTCTTATACTGCCACTTAGAGGGCAATGCCTGGAATACACTCGACTACAGCAAAAACATAATCTACCTAGGAAATAGTGAATTAACTTTAAGATTCTGTAGCAATTGGATTTAGATCTTTTTATTTCACTAAATATTATAATGGAACATAAAGCACAATTTACCTGTTTCTAAAAGAAGTGAAAGTGCTAAATGTAACATAATTGCTGGGCACTTTGCAAGATGTGTGTGTGTGTTTTTTTTAAAGATAAATGTTCTCTCAAAGAAGAAATAAAAAGGAACAAAAAGAAAAAAAAACCCTGCGTCTTTTACAAAACTTTCTCAGGAGTGATTTTTATTAAAAAAAAAAAGAATTGCTTCTCCTAATATTAATTTTATGTCAATTACTCTTGTCTTTTTTTAATGAGCAAAGATTCTATTATAAAGCAAATTTAAAGGAAGGGCTATTTAAAAATAAATATGCTTTGGAGATACTGTATACAATGAACTTTGAAAATCCCCCCTTTAACTTTTATTATATATGTGCAAGTAGATGTGAGCACACCTGTGCACACAAACACACACATATGTACACAGAATCACTACAATCACACAAACCCAATTATGAAATGTTACAGTAATGCAAGCTAAAGAATTGACACTGAATTGCTAGTAGCTGTTCTTATAGGCATCTTTGCCTGATCTAAAAAACTAGGCAGAGTTGGCCTTAGTATTTGGATATAGAAACTACTGTAATCTAGACACACAAATTATATCTCTACTCTTGTTTAGAAAACATCCCAAGAAAACATCCCAAACATCCCAACAAAGAGTTAAACAAAAATTAAAGGAAGCTTTGTTTCTATTTGCACAAACATTGGTGCACACAAACATACAAGAATACATGAACCACCTATCAAATAGGAACCCTCAAGGAGAAAGTATCTTTCCAGACTAGACTAGTTATATGTCAAGTTAAAATAACCTTCGTCCCATAACGAAGAGTTATGAATTCCAGATTATTCCAACTTCTCTTTCTCCCTACCACCCATCTGAGAGCCAGTAAGTGTCCTGGATGAGTCATACGTTACTAAGGAGATATGCAAATACAAACGCTTTGAAATTTCTCCAAGGAACTAGAAAGCTGGGGAAGAAAGTGGGGACTGGGGAAGAGGATGGGAGAAGAGAGAGGTGCAAGAACCCGAACCAACAAAAGCACATGTTGCTCAAATTTATGCTTCAACTCGTTCTTGGAGCTTAATATAGCTCTTGAAAATCTATACTTTTAATCACTTCGGACCTAGAATCGAAAGGAGAGGAGAGGCGAGGCAAGGAATTTGTTTGCCAACTATTCTATCTCTCTCCAACCCCATGCAAATTCTTTCCCGGGGGATCTGCTTCCTCCCTTTAACTTTTCGTTAAATCAGAGATTTCCGAGTACCGCTAGCCGCATCCATCTCTTAAATCCAAGGGAGACACCGAGTTTTGTCATGAGCTTCCACAGGACCCCTTATCAAAACCGGGGGGGGGGAGAGAATAAAAACGAAGAGAGAAAGTATCTGCAGAGTCTCCCCCTCTCTTTCTCCCCCTGGCCCAGGCGCCTCAGCCCGTCGCACGGCCACGGTTGCTCCGTCCGTCTGAGCAGAGGGGCGGAAAGCGCGGAACACCCGAGGCGAGGCGCCCGGCTTTCTCCCACCCGCGTCCTGCCCCCCGAGTCAGGCAGGGGTTGGCTTACATCCTCCTCCTCGCCGTCGCTCCTCCTCGCCTGGTACTGGAAGCGAGGTCTGGGGTTGTGCGGCTGCGACGGGCGCGAAGCTCTCGCCGCTCCACTGGCCGCGTGGGCCGACGCGGCGGCGGCAGCAGCGGCCGCTCCGTCTTCCTCGGAGCACTGGGGGCCTAGGAGATGGCTGGCTTCGGGAGTGACTGGGAAGGAGCGGGAGGTGTTGATCTTCCCGCCGAAGCGCTGATACAAGGAAGCCATTCGGTCGATCCAGGGCGGACTATGGAGTTCGCAGGGCGTCTGGAGCCACCTCTCTTCTGCCTGGTCGCCCGCTCCGGACGCGCCACCCGTCTGCCTCAGGGGAGCCGGCGAGAACGGCGCGCTCGCCGCCCGGGCATCGGAAGAGAGCGGAGGGCTAGGAGGACAACGTGTAGGAACCCCGCCGTCGGCGCGTCAAACTCGCCGCCCTCTTCCCTCGTCGGGAAGCTGGTCGATCGATGCGGTCGTGACCCCCGGTTAAAGGAGGGGCGCGGAGCAGGGAGGCGACTTGGCTCCCTCGCCCGGCGCCTTCGCGGGGCCACAGAGCAGCCGCTTTCCAGGTCGCATGCCAGGAGTGTGTGTGTGTGTGTTTGTGGTGGCCGTGGGGGGGGGGGGAAGAGAGAGAAGGAGGAGGGTGCGAGCGAGGGTGCGCGCGCGTGCCAGGGAAGGAGGGCGAATGTCTTCTGCGCGCGAGGCAGCTGCGAGAGCCGGGCCGCAGACTAGGTGGACGGGCGCTTTCAGCCCCGGCTCTGGGCAAGTGGGTTACCTCCCTCCACGGGGAAACTTGAAAAGCAGCGGCGGGGTGGGGGCAGCTCGCGTGCCCGCCTGCTTGCCGCTGCTCGGGAGAGGCGAGAGCGGCTGTGGCGTGCTGGCACGCGGTCTCTCCTGCGGGACTTCTACCTAGACCAGGGGCCGGAGACGCCTCCCGCCGGGGCCCCACCTGCTTGCGCACCAGCCCACCCGTCTCCTCCCGCCGCGGGGCTTGTTTAATCCCCGCCGGCGCTGCGCCCGCTTTCTTCATTCATTTTGCTGCATTAAAACGTGCTCCAGCGCCCCTCCGTGGAAACACGCGCGCATTACTTCGCGGGCGTCAACAAAGCGCCAGACAAGCCAAGACCCCCCGCGAGGCAGCCGGGCCAGGCGGGGCGGAATAGATCAAAGCCATTTCTCTCTTCCCCCCCCCCGGAAGGGCTGGCGTTTTCTGGAAACCCGCCTCCCTCGCCCTTCCCGGGTGACTCTTGCCAGTCCGGAAGGCTCAGCGGCAGCCAACGGTGATTAAGATGCTCAGGGTCAGCCAGAGGTTAGCTCTGAGCAGCGGCATCCCACCAAAGGGGACGGGGGTGGTGGTCGGGCCTTCGGGATGGGGAGACTGCGAGCAGATCTCTGGGTTCCCATAGCAACAGGTGTGTGTGTGTGTGTGTGTGAGAGAGAGAGAGAGAGAGAGAATGTAGAAACTTGAGAATTCAGACGAGGGCAGAGTTCTTGCAGGAATATGTTTTGGACATTACCTTTCTATCCTTCCTAGCTTTTCACAAAAGCTTTCTGAGCGGAGAGATTTCTTTTGTCCGACATTTCCTTTCCTGCATTATTGCCATTATTATTTCTTCATTAGCAATAAAAGAGAATACTTGTAGCACATGGCTGAACTCTGGGGTCCTTGGTGGTGGATTTTTTTTTTGCAGAGGTTTCATTACCCAACTAGGTCACTTCATCAGTGCTAGGTGTTGGGGTGGTCCTTTTGCTAGCATTAAAGGTATTATCTAGTTGGGTAATGAAACATCAGAGAGTACTAAGGACCCCACATATTTTTTTCAGTAACAATATCCTTCCTTCCCTCCCTCCCTCCCTAGGACCCCAGGGCTATGTGATCACTTTTTACAATCTTTCTGATAAGCAAAGTCAATGTGAAAGCCAGATTCACTTAACAACTGTGTTACTAACTTAACAACTGCATCGATTCACTTAACAAATGTGGCAAGGAAGATTGTTAACAACTGTCTTGCTTAGCAATGCAAATTTTGCGTTCAGTTGTGGTCATAAATTTGAGGACTACCTGTATTAATCTAGAAGTCTTTTATGTTCATTTTTTAAAATAAACAAGAGACATAATGGGGCAAATATTGTAACTAATTCCAGGAAACTGTAGAAAAGGATGATGAAAGGATAATTATCTGGACCCTTTTCAATCTGGTTTCAGGCCCGGCTACAGCACTGAGACTGCTTTGGTCGCACTGACCGATGACCTCTGGCGAGCCCGGGATAGGGGTCATTCCTCTATCTTGGTGCTTCTTGACCTCTCAGCGGCTTTCGATACCATCGACCATGGTATCCTTCTGCATTGTCTCGGAGAGGTGGGGGTGGGCGGCACCGTATTGCGGTGGTTCTCCTCCTACCTCTCTGACAGGTCGCAGTCGGTGTTGGCGGGCGGACAGAGATCGACCCCTAGGCGCCTCGATCATGGGGTGCCTCAGGGCTCGGTCCTGTCCCCCCTCCTTTTTAACATCTACATGAAACCGCTGGGTGAGATCATTCGACAACACGGGGTGAGGTATCATCAGTACGCGGATGATACCCAATTGTATATCTCTACCCCGTGTCCTTTCAGTGAAGCAGTCAACGTGATGTGCCGGTGCCTGGAAGATGTGAGGGTCTGGATGGGGGTGAACAGGCTTAGACTCAACCCTGACAAGACCGAGTGGCTCTGGGTCTTGCCTCCCAAAGGTCAACTGGATGGTCCATCATTAGTCCTGGGGGGGGGGTAAATTTACCTCCCTCAGTGCAGGCACGCAACTTGGGTGTCCTCCTGGACTCACAGCTAAATTTGGAACAACATCTATCGGCTGTGGCCAGGTGGACCTTTGCCCAGGTTCGCCTAGTGCACCAATTGCGGCCTTATTTGGACCGGGAGGCTTTACTCTCGGTCACTCATGCCCTTGTCACCTCAAGACTGGATTACTGTAACGCGCTCTACATAGGGCTACCCTTGAAGAGCGTTCGGAGGCTGCAGTTGGTTCAGAATGCAGCCGCGAGAGCGATTGTGGGTGCGCCAAGATACGCCCACGTGTCACCTATCCTCTGCGAGCTGCACTGGCTTCCTGTGGGTCTCCGGACGCAATTCAAGGTGATGGTTATCACCTTTAAAGCCCTTCATGGCATAGGGCCAGGTTACTTACAGGACCGCATACTGCTGCACAGTTCCCAGAGACCGGTAAGGTCCCACAGACTGGGCCTCCTTCAGGTCCCGTCGACCAGACAATGTCGGCTGGCGGGCCCTCGGGGAAGGGCCTTTTCTGTGGTGGCTCCAACCTGGTGGAATCAACTTCCCCCCTCGAGGTTCAAACTACTCCCACCCTGCTGGCCTTTAAGAAAGCCATTAAAACTCTCCTGTTCCGGCAGGCCTGGGGCTGATGTCCCCGGGGGGGGGGCGGGATATGATCGGACACGCTGTATGAATGTATTTATTTTATTGTTTTATTGTCACATTATTGTTTTAATTTTGTACGCCGCCCTGAGTCCCTTGGGATTGGGCGGCATATAAATTTTAGAAATAAATAAATAAATAAATAAATGCCAGAGCCTCATGAGAGAAAACAGATACAAGATTAGCAGGAGGAAGAGGTAGGAAATTGGGGAAGAAAATAAAAACAGAATGAAAGATGATGTGAGTTTTTCCTCCCCGCTAAAAATGAGCAGGAATGGAGGACTCTGAGAGAAAACATTCAAAATGAACATAAAATGATACTGGGAAAAATACCCTCAAGGCCACACGTGTTAATAAGAATACTTTCCTTTATCAGTATGTGAACAAAGAAGTGTGTTTTCTACAGTGCTGTGTTCTCAGTCATAGCTCAGGTCTTTAAGCAAAGATTGCAGGTACGTTAGTCCAAATTTACTGAAAATGTATTACAGGTAGTCCTCAGCTTTGGGCCACAACAGAGCCCAAAATCTTTGTTGTTCAGCGAGGCAATTTAAGTGCGTTTTGCTCCATTTTGCAACCTTTTTTTGCCCCAGTTATTAAGCGAATTGCAGGTATTGTTAAGTATGCCATGCCATTGTTAAGCAAATCTGACGTCCTCTCAATTGACTTTGCTAGTGGGAAGCTGGCTGGGAAGGTGATCACGTGACTCCAGAGCTTTGCAACTGCCGCAAATATATGCCAGTTGCCAAGCATCTGACTTTTGATCACGTGACCATGGAGATGTTGCAATGGTATTAAATGTGAAAATTGGTCACCAGTCGCTGTTTTCAGTGCTGTTGCAACTTTGAATAATAATAATAATAATAATAATAATAATAATAATAATAATAATAATAATAATAATAGGAAGGGACTTTGGAGGCCATCTAGTCCAACCCCCTGTTCAGGTAGAAAACCTTATATCAGTGATAGCTAATCTTTTAGAGCAATGGTTCTCAACCTGTGGGTCGGGACCCCATTTGGGGTTGAATGACCATTTCACGGGGGTCGCCAAACAACGCAGTCTGCCATTTCCCCCCCCCCCTTTTGCTTAGCTATACTACTCCCTTTTATTCTATTGGCTTTTGAAAGCCAATAGAATAGACTCTCTTGAATAGAGTCTAATTCTATTGGCTTTCAAAAGCCAATAGGAATTGTCCAGGCTGTCTCTGCCCTGCTGAGCCCGCCAAAAGTCCCATTCTGCAAACGGTGCTGCACCAGTTGAGTAGTCCTCGACTTACGACCGGTTGAGTAGTCCTCGACTTACAACCGGTTGGGGGTCGCGGCATTAAAAAGGTTGAGAACCACTGTTTTAAAGACTTGAGTGTCCAAACTGCAACCCAAACCCCACTTATTTATTGCCGGGTGCCAGGTGGGCGTGGCCCACTGAGTGGGCGTGGCTGTGATGGTCATGGCAGTCTGGTTGGGTGTGGCCAGGATGGGTGTGGTCATCTCAATATTGCTCGTGGGGATACCTGTGGGGGCCAGGCAGGGTTGTGGGAGATTCAGGTGGTCTCTGGCAGGTGGGCGGTAGGCAGGAGGCTCGTCCTGCGGGGTGAGGCAAGGCAAGGCGAGGCTGACCAGGGCAGGGGTGCCATTGTCACAGGGCAAGGTGAGGCAGGGGCCAGGGCGGCGGCTGCCTGACACCATCAACCCTCACACACAGAGGCCAGCAAGTGCATGGGGGCCGACAGTGTCCCTCAGCAGCCCCAGCCTGCTGGCCCCCTGACCGGCACACTCTGGGGCTCTGCAACCCGCCTCCAGCAGTTCAGAGAAGCCGTCTCTGACCTGGATGCACGGACGACAGCTGAGGAGGTGATGCAGTGGGTTATGCCCGGGAAAAGGATAGCATGCGAGGCCAGGAGGGAAGGGATGCTGGGATGCATCCGGCCACGTGGGACCTCGGTGAGTTAGAGGACAGCTGGTTGAAGAAGGATGGTTGCCATCTTTGGGGCATGGTGTGTGTGCCCACAGAGAGGGTTCTGAGTGCTGCCTCTGGCACTCATGCCATAAGTTCGCCACCACTGCCCTATACATTTCGGACAAATGGCTGTCCAGTCTCTTCTTAAAAATTTCCAGTGTTGAAGCATTCACCGCTTCTGGAGGCAGGTTGTTCCACTGGTTAATTGTTCTAACTAATAGTCATTAAACAAATGTAAATCAAGGATTACATATACTCCACAAAATATAGAAGTGGGGAGTTTGAAGATTTTGGAGGAAGCAACACACTTCTCAAGGGAAGCAATATCAAAGCACAGGTTATATGTACTCCAGGCTGGAGAGACACACAGATACACATGAATGTGTTTACACACACACATACACACCTCAAATACATCTGAAATAAAACCTCCTCTCTTTTCTTTTAATAGCAAATTTATGTAGGGAGGCCCAATAAACCAAGAACATGGGGACCTTTTATGAAGCTGGAATCAAGCATCAACAAGAGCAGGGAATAAGCTTTCAGAAATGCAAAGGCTGTGTTTTTAATACATACATACATACATACATACATAACCAAAGACCTACATACATACATACATACATACATACATATATGTAGAAACCGATAAGAGAGGAAGTCACAGCAGCCACAAATAACTCAGAGGAATTAAATGATTGCCTGGCCGGAATGCTGAATTGTAATGTTTGCACAGTATTAAGAGATCAATGTAAAGCAAACCTTAGGTTGAACTTGATCCCCAATGATATGGACAAGCTGCTTATAGATGCACTTCCTTACATGTGCTGGATCTGAAAGCCAAATCACAGTTCTTAAACAGAGAAAGGTATTCTGCTCCTGGCC